TGTGCATTGTGAGAGTCAATGTAACGAAAGGGTGACCTCTGGTGGCAATCGGACGGAACGGACGGAAGAGGATTTGTGACATAGCAGAAGACCACCACGGAGGAGCAGAAGACCACCAGGCCGGAGCAGCCGGAGCAGAAGACCTCCACGACAGAGCAGAAGACCACCACGGTGAAGCAGACGACCACCACGGCGGGGCAGATGAAGCAGACAGAGCTGAAACACAGAACGCAGACAGACACTCTGCGGCCCCAAGGGTCGGAACAGGAGATACAGTGGGCTTATTAACAGTCTCTTTGGGCATGACTGATAGTGCTGAAAGTTCAGTGTTGGTCTCCTTGAGATTGGCGGGACAGACAGACAGTTCAATAACAGACACATTATTTGAAACTGGACGGGCAGGAAGTTCAAAATCAAAAGCATTGATTGAAACTGCATTAACAGACAGTTCAGTGACTGAAACTAGACTGGCAGACAATTCACACTCAGACCCATTGATAGAAACTGGACATATAGATGGTTCAAAATCAGAAACATTTGGGAGAAATGGATGGACAGACAGTTCATAATTAGAATCAAGAGCAGATTTAAGACAGACAGATAGGTCATACTCATGCTCATTGGTTGAAACAGGACAGAGAGATGGCGGAGAATAGAACTTGTTGACCGAAACTGGATAGACAAACTGCTCACACTCAGGCTCATTGTCTGGAACTGGACAGACATATAGTTCAGAATCAGATTCAACAGCAGCATTTAAACAGACAGTTCACACTCAGAGCCTCCATGGCTGGTTCAAAACAGGACGTGAGTTCATAAGCTGCCTCTGTAGCCGTGACAGAGCAGGCAGAGATTTCATAGACGGCCTCCATAACCGTGACTGGACAGGAAGTGAGTTCACAGACGGCCTCCATAACCGTTACAGAACAGGACGAAAGTTCACAGACAGCCTCTGCGGCTGGGTTGAGATAGGACGAGGGTTCACAGATGACCATTGTGGCCTGTTCAGGACAGGACGAGAGTTCATCAACAGCCTCTGCGTCCGGGTTGAAACAGGACGAGAGTTCAGTAACCATGACAGGCATGGCTGGGGATTCGGAAATGGTCTCCTTGACAGCGTCAGGGCAGGACGAGAGTTCATAGATCGTGACATGAGCAGACAAAAGTTCATTAATGGCCTCCTTGGCTGGACCAGACAGTTCACGGAGATCATCACTGGGCGCCACCACCGCGCAAGGAACTGAGGCCAGTGCCACCGTCTCGGGAGGTTCTGCAGCCTGCGCCGCCACCTCTGAAGAGACTGCAGTGGACACCATGGCCTCTGGGAGCACAGCAGCAGACACCGCTACCTCGGGAAGTTCCGCAGCGTAAGCCACCACCTCTGGAGATGTTGTAGCCGGTGCCGCCACCTCTAGCAAATCAGCGGTGGTGTACGCGGCCCAGATACACCATAAAGCAACCCCCTATACGGGAAGTGCTGCAGACAGGGGAATGAGTTCAAGAGCAGGAGGACTAGAGTGATTTGGTTTGAGGATACCAGCTGTGCATGCTGACACCAGCGGTGGATCCTCCACGCTGGATGCCATCCTCTGACGCTTGATGACAGGTTCCCTTGATAGGACGGTGGAGGGCTGCGGTACGACAACCGCAACAGGACGTGTCTCTGGGGTGGCAGATATGACGTGAAATGGCTCTGGAAGATCTGATGAGACTTGGCAGGGCTCTGGAAGATCAGCTGTGGCGAGACTCTGGATGATCAGCTGTGACGTGACAGGACTCTGGAAAGTCAGTTGAGAAGTGACAAGACTCTGGAATGTCAGCTGAGAAGTGACGAAACTCTGGAAGGTTAGCGTGACTTGACTCAGGAAGAGAAACTGTGACTTGACTAGACTCTGGGAGATCAATGGTGACTTGACTTGACTCATGAAGAACAGCTGTGAATTTACTTGATTCATTAAGATAAACTGTGACTTGACTTGGTTCATGAAGATCAGATGTAACTTGACTGGACTCATGATGATCAACTGTGACTTGACTTGACTCATGAAGAACAGCTGTGAATTTACTTGATTCATTAAGATAAACTGTGACTTGACTTGGTTCATGAAGATCAGATGTAACTTGACTGGACTCATGATGATCAACTGTGACTTGACTTGACTCATGAAGAACAGCTTTGACTTGACTTGACTCATGAAGATCAGCTGTGACATAACGGGGCGCAAACAAACAAAACTCGGCCCGGAAGGGCATGTGAATGACTTGTTATATAGGCCGTGTGATTGGTTTCTGGTAGGAGTGTAATCAGTGCAGAGCTATGGTAGTTTTTGCATTTATATCCATACTAAATGTGTTTAGGTTACTGTTTTTCATGAATTCCAGACGTTTATAGAAAACATTTTTTTTTTTTTTTTTACTGTATAGTGAAGCACCATTCAGATTTTACCTGTGGTTACCATGACCTACAAATGTATGGTACTATGGAATAACATATGGTAAATTTTAATGAGCAAATATAAAGAAAGGCAAAGGCTATAAAGACTCAGTCAGTCGAGTGGTCAGAATACTTCATTATAACCAGTTATAATTAATCAAAAATATTTTCACTTTCAGCTAATTTGCTACAAATGAATAAAAAAAGGAGTCCAGTATTGATACAGATATTTCAGCTAAAGTAATATTTGCATTATATCTAAGGTAATACTTGTTCAAATCAATTCAGCAAAGTTTGTACATATTTTAACACATTTTTTACATATTTTAGCAAATATAATTGATTTTTGTTCACAAATACAGTCATTAAAATGTGTTCATTTTAAAGCAATGAAAACAATATTTTAAAAAAATATATTCTTTTTTTTCAGAGATCACATAAAAATTGAATACAGCTGCACTGTAGTTACAACAAATATATTTTATTAAATGCCATGATTAATGTCATATTTTATAATGTCAGAAACTCTGCTGAAGCTCATTTCAGTCTTGTGAGGAATCAATTATTATATTCATGATTCATCCAGCATACAGACATTTCAAATATTCATCATCAATTAAAATATGATCTGAAGTTGATTTGTCACTGTGTTTTATTGTTATAAATATAAAATCACATGTTCTTCATGAATCATGTTTGTGAAATGTACTTTTCAATTGAAAGGTAATTTTTCTAGTAATAATACAAATGATTGATGTGAAACGACAATAAAAACAAATAGAAAAGCACAGATACGCATCGTCACTCAGCAAGACACACACACTGATCTTACTGTCTATATGAGGATTTATTACACATTTATTCTGACTGTTATTTCAGTGACAGAAGTTCAGCTGCAGTATTAATGTAATAAAGAGACTCTTTAATAAAGATCTCACTGTTACTGATTTATATGAAGTTCCAAACGTAGGTTCGGGAGGAGCCTGATCATTCAGTCCTGTCAATTATCATTTAGAGTCTGTATAAGCAGTAGCTGAACTCGGAGCTCAAGCCGAGCCTCATCTTTGAGCCTCCATTGAGGACAGCAAGTCAAGGTAATTTACCATTAACCATCAGGACTGGATGGGCAGGCGAACTCGTGAACATGCAGCTCAAAACATTATGGTTCCGATTCATTCACACAGTTTCAGTGATGATTTATAATCAACCCTACTCCCAGAATAAACAGTAAATCCAGTATAAACAGTAAACCCATGATAAACCCCAAACCCAGGATAGAGCGTCTGAGTGAATGTGGTCTGGACTGTGTGGATGAGACTCATTGTGTCAGAGACGCTGTAGAAGGACAGAGTTCCTGCACTGTGATCTACAAACACTCCTATTCTCCTGCTGATGGGCTTCACAGGGAGACGAGTCTCTATGTCATTGTGTCTGAAAGAGTAACTGGAGGGAAAGCAGATCAAACTCCAGGACTGATTATTAGACCCAAACCAACATTCTTTACCCTGTCCTTTCCTGCTGATGATCTTATATGACACTGATATACACACAATCCCACTCCACTCAATCTCCCAGTAACAGCGTCCACACACACTCTCTCTACACAACACCTGAGGATTATATTCATCAAATCTGTCAGGATGATCAGGATACGGCTGGACTTTGTCAGTATACGTAATCAGTCTGTTCCTTGCAGACAGACAAAGGCATTTGTTCACTGTGTTCAGATCCAGAGTGAGCTGATGTGAATCTGATGGAGATATAAAACACATCAGAATCTGGAATTATGAATATATTTGATCATTTAATGGCATAGTTCACCCCAAAATTAAAAATTGCTGTTTATTTACTCATCCTCAGGCTGTCAAAGATATGGGTGACTTTTTTTTCTTCAGCAGAACAGTAAAGAAGATTTTTAGCTGAAACCGTGGTCCTTGGTGTTTCATATAATGCAAGTCAACAGTTACCATCACTTTGAGAGTCAAAAAAACATGCAGACAACACAAAATTAATAATCATGGCTCTTGATGATATATCAAGTTCTTATGAAGCGAAACAAATGGTCTGTGCAAGAAACTGAACATTATTTACAACATTATTACTTTGTATTACAATATTTTATTTATCCTATAGAAAACAAGTGTAGAAGTAGTTGTAATACTATGAAAGCCAGATGTGTTTTGAAGGCCTCATGGCCTGTATGACAGAGAGAAGTCACACGGGAAAGAATGGGATTTTAGCTGATGTTGTGAAGTGTAGCTGCGCGAAGACAGCGATAATGCTAACAATACTCGGCAGTGAGAGAGAGGAAGTCCATGGCTTATGTAGGGTGTGTGATTGACAGCAGCTGTGTGTCTAATCAGTTCAATGGATGCTGGGATATGTAGTTCGGGATGACATGCAACAGTTTGTGTAGTGTGAGAGTCAATGTAACGAAAGGGTGACCTCTGGTGGCAATCGGACGGAAGTCCAAGGACAGGATTTGTGACATAGCAGAAGACCACCACGGAGGAGCAGAAGACCACCAGGCCGGAGCAGACAGAGCAGAAGACCTCCACGACAGAGCAGTCGGGACAGAAGCCCACCAGGGCGGAGCAGACGGGACAAAAGCCCACCAGGGCAGAGCAGGCGGAACAGAAGACCACCAGAGCAGGATAGAAAATCACCAGGCTGGAGCACACGGAACAGAAGACCACCAGAGCGGGACTGAAGACCACCAGGTCAGAGTAGAAGGCCACCAGACCGGAGCAGGAACTGGGACCTGGGTAAAATTGAAAAACAGGAAACAGACAGTGCATTCACGGTCTCAAGGACCAAGGCAGGGAACACAAGAAGTTCATCCATAGTCTCCCTGGTGACCACTGAATGGTTAGACAGTTCAAAATCTGGCTCATTGACAGAGACTGGACAGGCAGACAGTTCATAAACAGACTCACTGACTGAGACTGGACAGGCAGACCATTCAAAATCAGTCTCATTGGTCGAAACAGGACAGACATATGGCTCAAAACTAGACTTCTTGACTGAAACAGGATAGGTAGACAGTTCATTAGTGGTCTCTTGGGAAATGACAGGGGTCAGTGGGACAGACATGGAGTGTTTTTGTCGTTTCTGAGCTCATGACAGACAAAGTTAAGAGGTCAAAGGTGGATCTTTGGGCTGTGACAGGGCCACCGGGGCAAAGGTGGGGTGCATCTCTAGTTTCTGATCTCATGACAGATGGGATCGAGTGTTCAGAGGCGGGTTCCCTGGACGTGACAGACAGTTCAAGCTCAGAGACGTGGGGAAATAGGACAGACTGATGGTTCGTAATTGAACTCACAGATTGAATCCGGCAGAACAGACACTTTGAAACCAGACACACTAGGCAAGACTAAACAGACAAATTATTCAACATTAAGCTCACGGACTGAAACTGAACTGATAGACATTTCATTAGCAACTGGACGGACTAACAGTTCACACTCGGGGTCATTGGCGGAAACTGGACAGACAGGAACATCATCATCAGACACATTGACACACAATTCAGAATCATGAGCATTGATGGGAACTGGACTAGCTAGACAGACAGACGGTTCAACAGTTGACACACTTGGAGAGACTGAGCAAGGTGACAGCTTATAATTTGACTCACTGATTGGGATTGGCAAGACGGAGGATTCAACAGAAATGTTTGTGGAGACAACACAGGTAGAGAGTTCATATTTAGGTTCATTGACTGGGACTGGCAAGACAGAGTGTTTACAACCAGCCTCCTCGGCTGGATCGGGACAGGACAAAAGTCTATAATTGGCCGCCATAGCCCTAACAAGGCAGGCAGGGGATTCCCTAACGGCCTCCATAGCCGTTACAGGACAGAAAATGAATTCACAGACGGCCTCCACAGCCGTGACAGGACAGGAATTGAGTTCACAGACGGCCTCCATAGCCGTGACAGGACAGGCAGGGAGTTCATAGATGGCCTCCATAGCCGTGACAGGACAGGCAGAGAGTTCACAGACGGCCTCCTTGGCCGGAACAGAACAGGACGAGAGTTCACAAGTGGATACTACTGACACCTCTGGAGGTTCTGCAGCGGATGCCGCCACCTCTGGAGGTTCTACAGCAGTACCAACAGGAAACAGGGAGAGTTCATTAACATTCTCCTTAACAGGACAGGTACGGAGTTCAGCAACGGTCCCTTTGACCGCAACAGGACAGACTGAGAACTCATAAACAGCCTCCTTGGCCGTGGCTGGGCAGGCAGAGAATTAATAAATGGATACCACTGACACCTCTGGAGGTTCTGCAGCGGTTGCCGCCACCTCTGGAGGTTCTACAGCAGTAACATCAGGAAACAGGGAGAAGTCAGTAATGGTCTCTTCGACTGCAACACGACAGGCTGAGAGTGCATCGCTGGGCGCCACCAACACGCTAGGAGCTGAAGCGAGTGCCTCCACCTTGGGAGCTTCTGTGGTGGTGTATGCAGCCCAAACACACCATAAAGGGATCCCCATCAAGGGAAGTGCTTCAGACAGGGGAATCAGTTCAGGAACAGGAGGGCTAGAGTGAGTGGGTTTGGGGATACCAGCTACGCGTGCAGACACCAGCGGTGTATCCCTCACACTGGATACCAGACTGGGATACCGAAGG